TGAAACGAATTTATCTATTTAACATTGTAGCCTGAAATTACAGAAAGAAAAAAGGATTTCCGGTTTGCAATTAAGAAGGAAAATTTCGCCGGCCTTCAAGCGCACCGGAAGCGCGGAAAGAGCGCTCGTGCCAGTCCTGCTCCGCATCACACACTAAATGAAGAGCGGAGCGCTCGTTTCACCGCCCAACATTTATCCGCCCTGCTACTGAGGGTTTGAAACCCTGACCCAGTTTAGGGAAAAAGGGAAATCCTAAAATGTCTATACCCTGTTTAGGAAAACTGTGTTTCTCAAGAGTCAATCCTTTTTTCTTTTCGCGGAAATATGCATTCCTTGGTTTAAATTTTACTCTTTTGTCTCAAACTCGTTGTCATGCATTTACCATACCCAAAAGCAAAAGAAAAATTATAATTTAAACCATGGATAAAGTGAACCACAACATATATAAGAGCGTCGCTGTACGTCCAACACCAGAATTTCAATTCACCCTTGACTATTTTGATACATATGTATATAAGAATGTTGTTTTTCAGACCCAGGACGAATATTCTTATTTTTCTGTCTATTTTAGGCTGATAATATTATTGAATTATCCTTAATTATAAATTATAGCTTATGGCAATTTCTCTTTAGAATGTACTGGGGTTTCGATTAGCAGTGTCCTTGCCGTTTAGTAACGGTAGGAATTTTCCACGGTTCAGTTTTAAAATTACATAAATTGTGCGGTATTTATTATTTTCAAAGACAAAATTGAGTCATTTTTAAAATCACAGCCTCGGCTTTATTCTTTAAAAAATATTCTTAAAATTTCGCAATAATTTTTCTTTTTCTGCCATGTTCCTCACACCTTATTTCTCGCTTTTTATTGTACAAATCTGAACAGGCGCGGATCCATACCGGTTTTTCAAGGTTTTACGAAAATAAGTCATATTTTTCATAAATAAATATATCTTTAATGAAAAAAAAAAAAAAACGTTCCAAGTTAAAATCTAGTAAAAATACTGTCTGAATGTCTCAGAAACCTTGGAAAGGTGACTTAATTTAGGGAATTAAAATCCAAAAAATTTCCCGGGAAAGAATGCCCGCAGACTCCTCCTAGAAACTTGCACCATTGGCGCTCGTTTAGGAAATCGGTCAGTTTTTATTCCAGATCGTCGACTGCGGAAATAGCACTTGAAACCCTTCAAAGTTCTCTGATCCACCGCGAATTTTTTTACAAAATAATTTTGAACACTCTTTATCCCACTTCAAGTAGCGAACCAGGAGTAACAGTTGTGAAACTGCCTCAGGTGCCAAAAAGCAGGAAGCTTATTTCTACACTTCAGCCATAATAACATCTGAAGACAAAGGTAAAATTGAACATTGATGTGTCTTCAGTTACGAGGCTCTGCTTTTGTTTCCAATAACTTACGAATAACTCAGCATTTGTCAAATGCGTTCAATTCGATAATACAAAATTGTTCCAAATAGACCCTTCCAAGGTTTTCTTTTTTACTACTTTTGACATGGACCCTGAATAAGGGAAAATCAGTCGCCACTACTGGAAAGTGCGCCATAAATTGAATATTAGTAAAATTGCCAAATTTGAAACTGGCCTACATCCTAAGCGAGCGTAGATATAGCTCCGCAAAGTTACGAAAATTTACAGACGTTTGTATGCTGGGGGGTGGGGGGGGGAAGGGGGGGCAAGTTATTATGCTCCTCACTATGCAAACGTATGTAAAATTTCGCCCCTTTAAGGAGCTGTATCTTCGCTCGCTAAAGACTTAACAGTACTAGTTTTCAACAAATTGCTTTCAAATTTGGCAATTTTATTAATATTGAGGCGCTCTTTCTGGTGGTGTCGACAAATTTTTCCTAACTTTTGCATGTCAAAAGTTGAAAAAGAAACCGTTGAAGGGTTTGTTAATATTTAATTTATCATAATTATTAAAAGTGAATATGAAATATAATTAAGAACATAGGGCAGTATCAGGGATTCACATGAGAGGTTTAAATGACCTGCCTTCTTAAAGCAAAATTAGCAGGGACTTTTGGAATGCACACACCAAATTAAAAAAAAGAGGGATAACAGTTATTAGAGTTCATCAGTGCCTTTTACTGCTCTGAAAATTGTCTTAAATGAAAGCTTTTTAAATTATCTTCTTATCTTCTCTTCCAAAAGGTTAGTTTTTCCGATTTGTTAAAATCGGCATTTGGACTACCCCAGGAAATACCTTTGTTATAGGAAACTCGGACTTCGTCGTCTTAGACGTCTTCTCTTAAAGAAAATTAGATGTTTGAGTTCTAATGACCAAAGGGACTTTGTGCCTCGATAGTTGGGCTTGTTCGGATAAAAGGTTACACCGATTTTGTTAAGCAAACAAAAACACCTTTTACTGAGTATTCAAAAAGTAATTTTACTTTCCCATCACCATACAGTCAAGTCTTTTCAGCAAAGGAAATAGTGAGAGTTTTTTTAAAGTTTTCCTTAATTTAAATCCATCCAAAAATGTGGTCCAATCAATCCACTTTCCCTTCACCAGTTAGCTTAACTTAACTTATTTATTTCTGCTGATGATTTAAAATACGTCTTTGCTGATGCCTTGTTGGAAACACGCCTTTAATAGTAACCACGGCATTTTTTGAATTGACAGATCTCAAACTTCCAGCGGCGATCACTAGAAATAATATGGACACAAAAAATTTTAATTGTAATACATGTTAATTCTAAAATAATAACAATAACAAAAATAATAATAATATGGCAAATTTATCATTACAATCCTTGCTCTGTGTTAAATAGTGAAATTTCTGTGTTGTCTCTCACATCTGAGAACAGACGGAGGAATATTTCAAGTGCTGAGCTTAAAATCCTATAGGACAATAATTAATGTTTTCAAAAGTTCTGTTGCGATTCGCGTACAGCCTCCTTTGTGATACATATTTGGCAGTAATTTTAGAAAAATGGACTTTCACCAACAGTAAACGCTAGCTAAACGCTCAAAGCAGGCAAAGAATGATGACCGTCTGAGAAACTCCTAGCCCGAATTTCAATCGTCTTCCTCAGGAGTTTGGGACTCGAGGAGATAGCTGAAATTCAGACGAGAAGATGGTTGTTAAAACTTACTGTTTATTCTTGCGATGATAACTGTACGCTCCCGTCAAAAAGCATCCTGGCGGGACTCTGAACGACAAGGAAGCATCCCAACGGTTCACATAAGTAGTGTGCTTACAGTTGTAGGGAATATACCGAGGTTTATGGCAGCAGCGGAATCGAAAGCTGAACGAAATTAAAAGGGAAGAGAGAAACGGACACGTTAACTATAATTTGTTAAAAACTAATATTTTCAGCAGTCTCGGAGAGGGAGGGAAAGAGATATTAAGTACCTGCGGTCTCTTGCAACGCCGTTGTAAAGGCTCTGCACTCCTGTGATAAATCCATTATGTTCACACTTGAACATCACTGGGTCGTAATAGCCATTCACGTAATGACTGATCCATTGGCAGTTTCCCTCATTGTATCGTCCCGGACCATACCCACATTTGAAATAGTGGATGCGGTCTCCTTTACAGTTGCGATGCTCACTCTGCCAAACCGTAATAGATTTCCCTAAACATTACACAGGCGAATGAAATTAGAAATAAAGACGAAGTTGAAAACTTGTGCAAGTATACAGGACAATATATGCAATTCTAATCTTTCTTCAGTTCTGTTTATTTATTCAGTCAGGAGAATGCGTTAATTACTGTGTACCAACAAATGTGTGTGTCAGTTTGCCAAAACATAATTTAAAGTTATATGATCCATTACTTTGTCCAATTTACTTTGTCCGCGAGCGTGAATTGATCAAACGTCCTCTTAATCTCTAAGGCTTACTTTCCGGAAAATAAAATGAACTGTATGTAAAAGGTGAAAGAGAAATAGCGAAAAATTCAACTTCTAATTAAATCTTTTCTTATGATTTAGAAGAAACCATTCTCGAAACTGAGACCCCCCCCCCCAGTCCCAGCTACGCCCCTGTGTGCAGGAATTCAGTTTAAAAGTTGTGACAAACGCTTCGGGGTATCTGTATTACATGTGGTAAACGCGAGTGAATTGAATCTTTACAGGAAGGCAACGTTACAGAAAGGCAACCTCGTCCACAGGGCTTTTCCCTTAAAAAAATGAAGGGGAAAGCCCTGGGGACAAGGTTGATAGAAAAGATCGCCTTTTAGTGATTCTATATAAAAGTATCAATTGGCGTACTGGCTGGGCATTTGAAGTACAAGGAACCGTGCCAGTTGTTCTTCCATGCAACTCCACTTGGCCTGGACGAAGAGCAGTACCTACGACGATATCTTCGACGACGTCGAGACCATAGACCCTCAGTCGACGAAAACAGCAGCAGGTCAACAGCTATCAGCAACAACAGAAATTTCGCCATTTTGTTTCCATCCATGGTCGTCTCTAGATTGGCAAGAGAGAATGAGCTTAAGGAAAGAGAAAACCACCTTTTTGCTGCTAATCTCTAAAAAGTTGTCTTCTTTGTCTTCATTTCCTTATAGAATGAAAACTGTCAGGGTTTAACTTTTATTAATAAAAAAGGGACAGACCATTTGAAAAGTTTTTACAAGAAAGTGGGGGTAGAGTACCAAAAAGATGTTCTCGCAAGGGGAAATCTTATGAAAAAAGAAAAGGATCATACACGCTTAGTGGTTCTTAAAAATATTCCTGCGCTGGCCTAAAAAAAGTTTATGCAAGGGAAATCATAATAATCACTTCAAATTCATGCAACTCGAAAATTCCTACCCCCCACCCCATAACAGTGCTGATGGTCCGTCCCTAACGATTTAGTTACGATTTTAATTTCCGTTAGTATCACACGGACAAAATGACTTGGATGAATGAACTTAGCAATATATACAGACATTAGAGTTTTATGATCATTGCGCGCTACCAAAAGCTACCAAAAATATTTGTTATATCAGGATAAAATTTTACCTAACCAGCTTTTAGTCACTGATATATATCCAGTAAGACAAAACATCATTTTGACCAAATAATTATTTGACCGTAAATCAAGTCATTTATTCACCTCCTATAGTAATTAAGTTGAACAGAAAGAACCGGCCAAAAATATCTTGATCAAGGAATCTCGAGCTACTCCGGACCTGACCAGTTGGTTGTGAAACAGAGGGCACATTCATGATCTGTATTTATTCAATGAATCACAATACGCCTTTATTCAATGAATCACAATATTTCCGCCGATTGTCTCATTATTTTATACTATTAACAGAAACAAGTTGGAGACAAGTTTGCAGTGCATTACTTCCTTACTAGCTTTGTAGCTGATCATTTATATTTGTATTACATTCGCGTTATCTGAGAGATGTAAAGGGCGACTCTAACTTTTTGTTTTTTGCGCGATTTGCTACGATGTCTTGAGGATACGATATTCTAAGCTTTATCAAGAAAAAAATAATCTGTCTCATTCTCTCTTGCCTTTATGGAAAGGTTAACCCAGGGAATCAGGTCATTTGATGTAAACAGTATCCGCCAAATTAGATGACAATTAATTGAGTATCAAAATTTGGCTTGAAACAACCTTACAGCAATTTTCACAACAACAAAGTACGGCATAAAATCGCCACAATAAATAAAGTGCAGCGTAGACGAGCGAAACTTATGTGTATCTAGACTTTAGAAACGGCCGCCGAACAGCAGGGACTCACCTTCAGCGCAATAACTAAGGCCTTGGCACAAAAAATCTTTAGCTTGAACAACAATTAAGAGAGTTTTGTTGCTAAATAGTGATAGAAAACGCAGAAGTCTTCCGTATTTTATAGTCTGATGTGTGTATATTAATATAGACATTCTTACGTAAGACTATTTTATGGCCACAAGTTCAAAACACGTTTGAAAGAAAAAACAAATGCTTATAAATGTTACAGGACGTTGAACAAAAACATGGTCAAAATTACGTGTTTGCAGAGCATCTCCCCCCCCCCCCCCCCCCACCGCGCACACACCCGCCCCACTTACACCAAAAATCCTCCAACCCCTCCTTACCCTTTTCCTCATTTTACTTCCAAGTTGCCTTACGTCTTGGCCTTTTATGATCGAGTTTCATGGATGCCTCGCTTTCCTCAGACAACAAATTTATTTCTCGACTCGGCAACTCATTAGTAGACGATAGGATGACTATCATAGACATTGTTTTTACTACATATTATTGGAGACAGGCAGCCGCAAGGAGTACAAAAAAAATAGTCGTACAACAGGGAAGTAAAATTTAAGTTGCGGCTTGAAATGTTCTTATGTTACTTCCTCATGATTAAATCGATGTGGCCGGGATAATATTGAGTCGGTTTTCCTTGATAGTGAGGCTCAGTTTTGAGTTACTACCCTTACTAATCATTTCTTCTTCGCAGGTATTGTTCTTCTGTTTTCCAAATAATTGACTTCTCCAAATTCAAACACTTGTTTAGAACTGTAGATCACCCTCAAGTGAATGGATAAGATTAAAGGTTGATTCCACTGACGCGTTTTTGGCTACGCACGTTAACGCGCGTATACTAAATTTTAATCACGTAAATAAAGCAGAGGCAAGATAAAAAGTGCTGTGCTTAAATTGCCTCTATTTTATTTGCGAACGTAAATTTTACGCACGTACACACGTAAAAAATTACGCGACACTAGGAATCAACCCTAAGAGAAAAGTCGAGTCCTAAAAACGCCAGGAGAAATTTTCTTTGTAAATACGGCTGACGAAATTATTTTCGTTTTATGAAAACTCTATGGGTTACTTGTTTAAAGATATTTTGCCTTTTAATGTTGCCGAGCCGTTACAAAATTTAAAAGCGAATTATAAACCCAAATTCTTCATTGAATGAACTGAAAAGAATTGCTTTGGCCTTCAGTTTGTTTCTTAATTAAAACGGAATATTTTACAAAAGAAAATGAAACACAAAATCCAAGGTCTTTTCTTTTCACATGTTTGAGATCAACTGAACCAATGTTTCATTGTCATTAGGATTTTCCTAATCGCTTAGCAATATTATTTCCAAAAACTGAACCATATATAACAGAAATACAAAACAACTTGGTCTTACATGAATATCACAATGATATTAGTGCTACTTTCATTCGTCGGGCGGTCAGGATCATTTTATTCTTTTCGTGGATATATAAAAAGAGCGTAATGTCTGTGTTCAATAACCAAAAAAGATCTTTAGCATTTTTCATTTGCGGTTATGCTGTAGAATTATACTTTTTGTACCGAAATAAAAGAGTGGGAAAACGCTTTTACCGCCAAGTTTACACACCCATCATTCCACTTCATGTCGACAACCTGAGGAGTTGTGAAACTGCGTCAGGTGCCAAAAATCAGGAAGCCTGTTTCGGAAGATCTTATTAGTATAACGAGATGAAAATAAAAAAAGAGCTGCAATACAGGCGACTTACGATAACTCGAACCTTCTAGGGAGATCGAAAAAAGTTCAAGTTAGCGAGAGTTCGAGGAATTAGGAGTTGACGGAGCAAACAACTGGAAATATGGAAATAGCATGGGGAATAAATTATGAAAAATGCCACTTCAAAGATTGATAAATACACAGTGTTGGACGCTGTATTTAAACTGGACTGAAAAAAAAAGTAAAGCTAAGACAAAAATAATTTCAATTTTCCGGACTGCTTTACACTTTTTGCCTACTTTTCAGGCGCTTAAAGCATGGTTCGATGGGGTATATTTATAACATATGATAGAATTGATCTGAAGGGAAACGAAAACTACTTCGAGTTAACGGGAGGTTCGAGATATCGAGGGTTTGTGTTACCGATCTAGAGTAAAATCCTAGTAAATGTAGGAAGGAAGGAAATCCAGGGGAAATCGATTTTGGTTCGAGTTAGCGAAGGTTCGAGTTATCGTAAGTCGACCGCAGATTTAACAAGTCGACATGAACACAGTACAGTCATAACAGTCGACTCTGTTTTGTATGTAGATAACTAGTTATAGTTTATTAAGTAATAAATAAAGGTATTGAATTTCGATAGCAAGGGTTCAAAAATCATGATGATTATTCCTGATTATTACAAGTCCATACGATATACTAGATCCAAAGCTAGCCGACTTAAGTAGCCCTTTTTGTTTTTTCGCTTAATATTCCCTTATGTTGATTAATTGAAAGTAAAGAATAGAAAGTAATGGACTTGTTGTATGATTTCACATTGCCAATTCGTTTTTCGCATTCCCATGGCCAATTTATACATTCGTTCAAACAACGTGCTGATTGCAGAAGTTATTATTAAAACGGCCTAATTTGCTAAGTTGTCAATAACGAGAAAAAAGAAGTAAGGAGTTGATAATATTCTTAATAAAATTCAACGATTGATACTGTTCTGTTTCAATGAAGGCAATTGCGAGTCGTTAGATGAAGACCAAACATCATGAAACCTCTAAACTTTATGGACTGATCTCTTTCATGTGGCCAAGCTGACTGTGTCAAAATGTAGAAATACGAAAATCGCAAAGTAAATTTAATTCGCTCTGGTTCTTTACCTTCATATGAAAGATTAAAAAACATTTTACTCGCGAAATACCGACAAGGCTTCCGCATTTTCGTGAAAATAAGGGCAAGAGTTGATAAGAATAATAAAAAAAGGGCTGGAAAAGAAAAGATCATTGAGTTCTTTTATTCAGTTAAGGCAGCACCATAGCAGACCTCGACTAAACAACGTTAGTTAAATCTCGGAGCGTTGAGCGTTGAGTCTACAGCAATGGTTTAATGTGTTCATATGCAACCATACCCAGCGTAGTCTTTTCAAAAAACCTTATGGCGTATTCAAATCAATGACAGATGACAAAATTTTAACCAAATAATAGCTCGATACTGTCATCTAAAACTATCACGTTTTTTAGTAATGAAGATTTGTAAGAACACTTACCAGCCATCTGGTCGTTTAATAACCAGGGTCACCAGGAAGGCACTTTGTTTAATTTACACTAAATAATTGCAAATACAAATTTCTCATCTTCTTTATGTCGCCAAAGAAAACAAAACAAAAAAAAACTCAAGTGCCTCAAGTCATTGTCAAGTGCCAAAATGCAGGGAAGCTGCATAGTACAACTTTGCATAACAAGCTATAACAATTCGACAGTCTTAAGAAAGAACAAAACATAGACCTTGTCACGGTTTTCGACGCCATGTTGACGAGTAGGCAAACGCGTGAGAAATTACAGTGTTTGTATGAGAATCTAATGTCGAATAATTTCCGTAAAACGGCTGTTCTGAAAAAAATATCAATTGTAAACTAAAGCTACAAAGCAAAGGATTATCCTAAAAAATTTGGGGGCGTACCTGTGCTTGAATTTCTCCAGAGGCTTGCTTTAGATTTTCCATATATTTGTCTGTAATTTTCCCGGGACTTTCTTACAGACAAATGTATAGAAAATTAAAAAAAGTGGTTCTAGGTCTTCTAGTGCATGTAACGCCTTAAATTATTTTAAAGAGAATCCTTAGCAGTGAAGCTTTAGTTTACAAATCATATTTTTTTCAGAACAGCAGAGTGAGTGTTCTACGGAAATCATTCGACATCAGATTCTCATACAATCACTGTAATTTCTCGCGCGTTTGCCTACTCGTCAAGATGGCGTCGAAAACCGTGACAAGGTCTATTCTACAGCACAAAGATATCCAGATACGGTTGGAGACTAAACAGCTTACGGTCTCTAGAGCACTTATAAATATCTCAACATTCATCAGAAAACCAAAAATAATCTTTTCAAATTCAGATTCATAGAATTGTTCAAAGTCAACCCAATTTTCATCTTGATTTTTGTGAATACAAAAGCGTTGAGAAAGCTTTTCACTTTATACAGGGGCACCCAACGACTATGAGTTTCTGATTCCTCGAAGAAGCGAATATCGCCTAGAATTTTCTATTGCTTGAGGGCAGCTACAAATTTCTAGAAGACCGTTCCGTTCATGTTCCCGAGGGTTAAATATCTGTAGTCTTCTAATTTTCCTCAGAGGCATAGTCAAAGATTCACCTCATGTATGGTAAATCAACGAAATTTTTTTTGCTTGTGGAATACGCAATCCTGCGAGCTTTGCAATCCGAAATTCAGCTCAAGGAATCCGGAAGTCTTCCGTATTTCATAGCTTGATGTGAACATAAATAAATATAAATATTCTTACGTAAGACTATTTTTTGGCCAGAAGTTCAAAACACGTTTGAAAGGAAAACAAATCTTCTTAATTCTTAAAACATGGTCAAAATTACTCGTTTGCAGCATCTCTCGCTTTACGTCGATCTCCTTTGATGATAGACTAGATGGATGCCCCGCTTTCTTCAGACAACTAATTTATTGCTCGACTCAGCAGCTCATTAGTACACGATGACTATCACAGACACTGTTTTCAACATATTTTATTGCAGACAGGCAGCCACAAGGAGTTAAAAAAATCGTGCAACAGGGAACTATATAAAAAATAATATTAATTAAGCGGCGGCTTGAATTTATAAATGGTGTTTTTTTTTTGTTACTTCCACGGTTTTCTTTGATAGTGAGGCTCATATTTAAGTTACTGCCCTAACAAATCATTTCTTCTTCGCAGGTATAAGCGTTCTGTTTTCTAAACATTTCACTTTTTCCAAATTCAAACTTGTTTACAGCCGTAGATCATCCACACTGAAATGAATGGATAAGACTAAGGGAAAAGTCGAGTCCTCAGAAAACGCCACAATAAATTTTTTTTGTAAATACGGCTGACGAAATTATTTTCGTTTTATGAAAAATCTATGGGCTACTTGTTTAAAGATGTTTTGCCGTTTAATGTTGCCGGGCAGTTTCAAAATTTTTTAAGAAGCCAATTATAAACCCTAAAAAAGCGAATTATAAACCCAAATTCTTCATTGAATGAATTGCCGAGAACTGAAAAGAATTGCTTTGACCTTCAGTTTGTTTCTTTTAAAACGGAATAATTTATAAAAGAAAATGAAACAAGAAAGTCTTTTCTTTCCACATGTTTCAGATCAACTGAACCAATGTTTCATCATCATTAGAATTTTCCTTCGCTAAGCAATTTTATTTCTACACTGAACCATATAAAACAGAAATACGAAACAACTTTGTCTTGCATGAATATCACATGATACTGTTATTTTCGCTCGTCGGGTTGTCAGGATCCTTTTATTCTTTTCGTGGATATATAAAAGGAGCGTAATGCCTCAGCATGTGTTCGATGACAAAAGATCTTTGATTCTCTTTATTAATTTGCAGTTACGCTGTAGAATTATTACACTTTTTGTACCGAAATAAAAGTGTGGGAAAACGCTCTTATCTCCCAAGTTTTAACACGCTTTACTGCACTTCATGTCGACAACCTGAGGAGTTGTGAAACTGCCCCAGGTGCCAAAAAGCAGGAAGCCTATTTCGGAACATCTTATTAGTCAGTAACAAGATGAAAAAAAAAGCAATGCAGGTGACTCCCGATAATTAACTCGAACCTTCTAGGAAATTGAAAAAAGTTCCAGTTAGCAAGAGTTCGAGTTTTCGGGAGTTCGGACCAAACAACTGGAAATACTGAATGGGATAGCGAATTAATGAAAAATGCACACTTCAAAGCTTGATAAATACACAGTGTTGGACGCTGTATTAATTAAACTGGACTGAAAAAAAGGAAAGACTTATAAGACAAAAATAATTTCAATTTGTCGGACTGCAATACACGGTTTTCCCGACTTGTCGGGCGCTTAAAGCATGGTTCGAGTTATCGAGCTGGGGTAAATTGATAACACATATAGAAATGATCTGAAGGGAAACGAAAATTACTTCGAGTTAACGGGAGGTTCGAGTTAACGAGGGTTTGTGTTACCAATCGAGAGTAAAATTCTAGTAAATGTAGCAAGGGTATCCAGGGGAAATTGATTTTGGCTCAAGTTAGCGTGGGTTCGAGTTATCAGGAGTCGACCGCAGACATGAATATAGTCATAACAGTCGACTCTGTTTTATATGTAGATAAGAGCATTATGGCTCTTGTTATAGTTTATTATTAATAAGTAATAAATAAAGGTATTGAATTCCGATAGCAAGGGCTCAAAATCCAAAGCTAGTCGACGAGTAACCTTTTGTTTTTTTTGGCTTAATATTCCCTTATGTTCTTAATTGAAAGTAGTTAACAATTGGACTTGTTGTATTGCCAATTCATTTTTTGCATTCCCATGGCCAATTTATGCGTTCGTACAAACAACGTGCTGATTGCAAAAGTTATTATTAAAACGGCCTAATTGGCTACGTTGCCAATAACGAAAAAAAGCAAGGAGCTGATAATATTCTTGATAAAATTCAACGATTGATGCTGTTCTGTTTCGGCGAAGACGATTGCGAGTCGTTACATGAAGACTAAACCTCTGAACTTTATGGACTGATCTTATTCACATGATGTGGCCAAGAAGCTGACTGTGTCAAAATCAGGAGAAACATGAATACCAAAATCGCGAAATAAATTTAATTCGCTCTTGTTCTTTACCTTCATATGAAAGATTAAAAAAAATTTTACTCGCGAAATACCGACATGGCTTTCGCATTTTCCTGAAAATAATAAGGGTGAAAGTTGATAAGAATAATAAAAACAGGGAGGAAAAGAAATGACCATTGAGTTCCTTTATATATTCAATAAGGCAGCATCTGATAGCAGACCACGGCCTTAACTAAACAACGTTAGTTAAATCTCGGAGCTTTGAGCCAAGGTCTTTTATTAACCAGGGTATCGAGCTGGGGTAAATTTACAATATATATAGAAATGATCTGAAGGGAAACGAAAATTACTTCGAGTTAACGGGAGGTTCGAGTTATCGAAGGCTTGTGTTACCGATCGAAAGTAGGGTATCTAGGGGAAATCGATTTTGGCTCAAGTTAGCGTGGGTTCGAGTTATCAGGAGTCGACCGCAGACATGAATATAGTCATAACAGTCGACTCTGTTTTGTATGTAGATAACTAATTGTAGTCAAAAGCGTTATGGCTCTTGTTATAGTTTATTATTAATAAGTAATAAATAAAGGGACCGTATTGAATTCCGATAGCAAGGGTTCAAAATCCAAAGCTAGTCGACGAGTAACCCTTTTTTTTTTGGCTTAATATTCCCCTATGTTCTTAATTGAAAGTAGTTAACATGGACTTGATGTATTATGTCCCATTGCCAATTCGTTTTTCGCATTCCCATGGCCAATTTATGCGTTCGTTCAAACAACGTGCTGATTGCAGAAGTTATTATTAAAACGGCCTAATTTGCTACGTTGTCAATAACGAAAAAAATGCAAGGGGTTGATAATATTCTTGATAAAATTCAACGATTGATACTGTTCTGTTTCAATGAAGGCGATTGCGAGTCGTTAAATGAAGATTAAGCAGGGGCACCCAACGAGAATTTAGTTCAAAACCGCTAAAACATAGCATCATTAAACGTATTTTGGTATTTAAACGGTAGATATAGGCATATTTTTATCCCCTAAAAATTTTTCATCTGTTCGGATTTCCTAGCTGAAAGTCTAGTGATCCGAAAACTATAGCGATCAAAACTTACCTTTTCGAAAATTTCGGCCAGAAAAAAGGCTCCCGAAAATTCTAGGTGACCTTTTTAGGGTAAAAATCCGTTAAAAACAGGCATTTATACCATATTTTAGATGTTCGAAAATCCTAGGAGAAGCAGGCAAGCAAGAAATTTTACAACAAATGTTCCGAAAATTCTAGATCTCAAATCGTCTTCCGAACAGATATTTTTCCGAAAATTGTCGTTGGGTGCCCCTGATTAAGCCTCGGAACTTTATGGACTGATCTTGTTCATGTGGCCAAGAAGCTGACTGTGTCAAAATCAGGAGAAATATCAAAACCGCAAAATAAATTTAATTCGCTCTTGTTCTTTTACCTTCATATGAAAGATTAAAAAAAATATTACTCGCGAAATACCGACATGGCTTACGCATTTTCGTGAAAATAATAAGGGTGAAAGTTGATAAGAATAATAAAAACAGGGCGCCGGAAAAGAAATGATCATTGAGTTCCTTTATTCAATAAGGCAGCACCTGATAGCTGACCACGGCCTCAACTAAACAACGTTAGTTAAATCTCGGAGCGTTGAGCGTTGAGCCTACAGCAATGGTTGTGTTCATATGTGACTGGTACCCAGCGTAGCCTTTCCAAAAAACCTTATGTGCTTATGACGTATTCAAATCAATGACAGATGACAAAATTTTAACCAAATAACAGCTCGCTACTGTCATCTAAAACTATCACCTTTTTTAGTAATGAAGATTTGTAACAACACTTACCAGCCATCTGGTCGTTTAATAAACAGGGTCACCAGGAAGGTACGTCGTTTAATTTGCACTAAATAATTGCAAATATAAATTTCTTCTTCTTTATGTCGCCAAACAAACCTCAAGTGCCTCAAGTCATTGTCAAGTGCCAAAATGCAGGAAGCTGAATAGTACAACTTTGCATAACAATTCGACAATCTTAAGAAAGAACAAAACATTCTACAGTACAAAGATATCCAAATACACTGTAAAAACTAACCAGTTGTAGTAACCTTTTTATAATTAAGGTTATAACTAGTTTCAATAGGTTAAGATAAACTTTTAAAAATTAGTTAAAATCCATAACTAACCTTATTCTTATTGGTTATATTAACCAATAATGAGCAGTTGTTTTGACGTTTAAAATATAGGTTAAATCCTCATGGTAGTCAAGATAACGTTTCAAGGCAGTTAAAATAAACGAAACCAAATGGTTACACAATTCAAATGGTGAGAGTCTGCATTTAGCCTTTGAGCAAATGTTTAAAATCTTCAAATATTTGATTTTGGTCGCTCCTAAATGATCAGCAGTTGTTTTGACGTTTGAAATAGGACAAAAGATTGAGTGGTCAAATAACTTTTCGCAACAGTTAAAATAAAGGAAAACAAATAGTTATCTGACTGTTATAATATCCAATAATAAACAGCTATTTTGACATAAAAAATCGGTTACATGTACATTGAGTGGTCAAAATAAGTAATGCTAGCTTCCTTTAGGAAAATGATAATTGTTTTACTAATTTAAAATTAACTGCAAGATGTTTAGTTAACCCTGAAGCTCTGCATGATTATCTTAGGTCACATGATACTGGAACCCAAAAAATATGTATCACAAGAAAGTAAAATAAAATGCACATTGATCGTTGTCATAATAAAAGTAATTTATTACTGTATTTTTGGCCCAGTGTGGGTCAAATATGTATTTAAATATTAGACACTTATATTCTTCATCCACTCTTGTAGGCAGCCCAAACTCACATTTTGAGCCATTAAGTAAAATATCAACATTGTGTGATTTCAATAAAGGATTTCCAGCAGATAGAGTTTGTGTGCACAAAGCGTAGTAGATAGAAAATCACCTAATCTTTTCCTGAGAAAAAAAAAAAAACTAACAATTATTGGACGAGGTTGAGCAAAATATCGTGATTTGTCTGTGGTGAGCAGATCAAGTATTTGCCGAAGCCGAAGGCTGAGGCAAATAATGATCTGCGAGACACTGACAAATCACGATATCTTGCGATAGCCGAGATCAATAATTGTTCTATCATTCGATCACCGAGTTTGTTTTTTTAATGAATATCCTCATTATTTTTGTCAAGTGCCAAAATGCAGGAAGCTGAACAGTACAACTTTGAATAACAATTCGACAGTCTTAAGAAAGAACAAAACCGTATTCTACAGCACGAAGATATCCAAATACGGTGGAGACTAAATAGCTTACGGTGTCTAGAGCATTTATAAATATCTCAACATTCATCAGAAAACCAAAGATAATCTTATCAAATTCCGATTCATAGAATCGTTCAAAGTCAACCCAATTTTCATCTTGATCTTTTCACTTTCTACAGGGGCACCCAACTACTATGAGTTTCTGATTCCTCTGAGAAGCGAATATTGCCTAGAATTTTCTATTGCTTGAGGGCAGCTACAAATTTCTAGAAGACCGGTCCGTTCACGTTCCTAAGGGTTAATATTCTTACGTAAGACTATTTTTTGGCCAGAAGTTGAAAACACGTTTGAAAGGAAAACAAATCATCCTAATTCTAAACGTGGTCAAAATTACTCGTTTGCAGCATCTCTAGCTTTACGTCGATCTCCCTTGATGATCGACTTGATGGATGTCTCGCTTTCTTCAGACAACTAATTTTTTGCTTGTCTCAGGAGCTCATTAGTAGACGATGACTATCACAGACACTGTTCTCAACATAATTTTATTGCAGACAGGCAGCCACAAGGAGTTAAACAAATCGTGCAACAGGGAACTATATAAAAAATAATATTAGTTAAGCAGAGGCTTGAATTTATAAATAATGTTTTTTTTCTTTGTTAGTTCCTCGGTTTTCCTTGATAGTGAGGCTCAGATTTAAGTTGCTACCCTAACAAATCATTTCTTCTTCGCAGGTATTAGCGTTCTGTTTTCCAAATATTTCACTTTCCCAAATTCAAACATGTTTGCAGCTGTAGATGATCACCCTCATTGAAATGAAGGATAAGACTAAAAGAAAAGTCGACTGCTGTCCTCAGAAAACGCCAGAATAAATTTTGTTTGTAAATACGGCTGACGAAATTATTTTCGTTTTATGAAAAATCTATGGGTTACTTGTTAAAAGATGTTTTGCCTTTTAGTGTCGCCGGGTACTTAAAAAATTTTTAAAAAAAGCGAATTATAAACCCAAATTCTTCATTGAATGAACTGCCGAGAACTGAAAAGAATTGCTTTGACCTTCAGTTTGTTTCTTTTAAAACGGAATAATTTACAAAAGAAAATGAAACACATAATCCAAAAAAGTCTTTTCTTTTCACATATTTCAGATCAACTGAACCAATGTTTCGTCATCATTGGAATTTTCCTTCGCATAGCAATTTTATTTCTAAACTGAACCATATAAAACAGAAATACGAAACAACTTTGTCTTGCATGAATATNCTCATTGAAATGAAGGATAAGACTAAAAGAAAAGTCGACTGCTGTCCTCAGAAAACGCCAGAATAAATTTTGTTTGTAAATACGGCTGACGAAATTATTTTCGTTTTATGAAAAATCTATGGGTTACTTGTTAAAAGATGTTTTGCCTTTTAGTGTCGCCGGGTACTTAAAAAATTTTTAAAAAAAGCGAATTATAAACCCAAATTCTTCATTGAATGAACTGCCGAGAACTGAAAAGAATTGCTTTGACCTTCAGTTTGTTTCTTTTAAAACGGAATAATTTACAAAAGAAAATGAAACACATAATCCAAAAAAGTCTTTTCTTTTCACATATTTCAGATCAACTGAACCAATGTTTCGTCATCATTGGAATTTTCCTTCGCATAGCAATTTTATTTCTCAACTGAACCATATAAAACAGAAATACGAAACAACTTTGTCTTGCATGAATATCACATGATACTGTTATTTTCGCTCGTCGGGTTGTCAGGATCCTTTTATTCTTTTCGTGGATATATAAAAAGAGCGTAATGCCTCAGCATGTGTTCAATGACAAAAGATATTTGATTCTCTTTATTAATTTGCAGTTACGCTGTAGAATTATTACACTTTTTGTACCGAAATAAAAGTGTGGGAAAACGCTCTTATCTCCCAAGTTTTAACACGCTTTACTGCACTTCATGTCGATGAACCAGGAGTTGTGAACCTGCCCCAGGTGCCAAAAAGTAGGAAGCCTATTTGGAACATCTTATTAGTATAATCGAAGTATAACGAGATGAAAAGAAAAAAAACAAAACAGGCGACTCCCGATAATTAACCCGAACCTTCTAGGGAAATCGAAAAAAGTTCCAGTTAGCAGAAGTTCGAGTTTTCGGCAGTTCGGACCATTAACAACTGCAAATACTGAATGAGATGGGGAATGAATGGAAAATGCACACTTCAAAGCTTTATAAATACGCACTGTTGGACACTGCATTAATTGAAATGGACTGAAAAAAAAGGAAAGACTGTAAGACAAAAATAATTTCAATTTGTCGGACTGCAATACACGTTTTTCCCGACTTGTCAGGCGCTTAAAGCATTGTTCGAGTTGTGGAGCTGGGGTAAATTTATAACATATATTATTGATCTAAAGGGAAACGAAAATTACTTCGAGTTAACGGGAGGTTCGAGTTATCGAGGGTTTGTGTTACCGAGGGTTAAATTATAGTAAATGCACGAAGGAAATCCGCGGAAATCGATTTTGGTTCGAGTTAGCGAGAGTTCGAGTTATCGGGAGTCGACCGCAGATTTAACAAGACATAACGGTCGACTCTGTTAAGTATCAGATAACTAATTATAGTTTTTTAATAAGCTGGTAATAGTTGACACTTCAGCTGCCCCTGCTCTGTATATTTTCGGTCAGTTGTATTCTTGGTCGTTGTGTGCTCTTGTTTAGCTCTTTGAAATATACCAATTCATAATGAAGATTTTCACACATATTCTATACAATAATAGCCTCCCACGCAGGCGTTTATGAAAGCGAGCTGTGCAAAAAACGCCTGCGTGCGTGGGAGGCTAATACAATAGGTGAGAGTAAAAACAGGAAACGAAAGGTTCCTTGCACTCGGTTTCAGTTCGATTTACACAGCTTTGATCGTAAAACATTCTCAGGCCCGGTTCAGACGCCGCTCCACTCATGTGCCGAACCTAACTGATGAATTAAGTACGGCAAAAGAGCGGCGTGTGAATCAATTTGGTATGGCAGTTTTAGTTTGGTGAGGCAAAAGCGTTAACTTAGGTTCGACACACGGTACGCCGTCTGAAACAGATGTCGCGCCAGTGTTGCTCAAAGTCGAACTTATTCAGTTAGGTTCGGCACATGAAAAGTACGGCGTCTGAACCAGGCCTCAGTTTCGGGAATAGTTTATTTTAAACCATAAGAAAAGATTTAACTAAAAGCTGGAATTTTTCGCTAGTAGTTCTCTTTCTCTTTTTACAAACAGTTCATTTTATCGGTCAAATCGAAGCTTCAACATCCCCCTCCCGGGCAACCCCCCGGGCATTTGACTTTTTCGAAAATTATTGTTCAAATTCCCCCCTACCCGGGCCTAAATGCTGTTCAAATGCCCCACACTAGGGTCCATTCAGGTGATCAAATGCCCCCACTCCGGGGACCTTTCACAGACACATAAATGACAGAAGCACGGCAGAAACGCCTTCAGTTGTCGAACAAAATCTTTATAAATACAGCAAATAATTCGCATTCAAAAACTGAGAAACACTGCTAGCGTATTTACTACGAAAGCGACGGAAATCGCTGCTACAAGGTCACTGAATGCTCAGCCTTTCTTCGTGTGTCATGCAACTCCCACCTATTGAGATTACTACATCATGACCATTTCACTAACATTCATCATCGCTCACCTTATCATGAATTGACATACATGCGGCAGGTTTCGCCGGTATAGGCATTGTATTTCATTGTAAACACAACTTATTACATTCATACATTCAAAGCCTGAATCCGATATTAAAAATATTAAAATTTAAATACCTTCAAACACGGCACAAAGCTTGTTTAAGCCCTCTCCTCGTAACNACTACATCATGACCATTTCACTAACATTCATCATCGCTCACCTTATCATGAATTGACATACATGCGGCAGGTTTCGCCGGTATAGGCATTGTATTTCATTGTAAACACAACTTATTACATTCATACATTCAAAGCCTGAATCCGATATTAAAAATATTAAAATTTAAATACCTTCAAACACGGCACAAAGCTTGTTTAAGCCCTCTCCTCGTAACCAATTGGCCAAGGCAAAGGCACAATCTTTTCCACGAAAATCCTCTAACACCGCGTCCCCCATGATAGCTCGACACGCCAGAGATTTCACATGAAATCGAGGGTGCAGTTCAAATTCCCCACCCCCTGGAAGACTCTGATAATCAAATTCCCTCCTCCCCGGGACAGCAAAGGTGTCAAATGCCCGGGGTATGCCCGGGGAGGGGGGGGGAGTGGCATGTTGAAGCTTTGATTTGACCGATACATAAGCCTTAGAAACCTTTTTTTTTTCTCTTAATATTCCCTTATGTTGATTAATTGAAAGTAGTAAATATGGACTTGTTGTATTATGTCACGTTGCCAACTCGTTTTTCGCATTTCCATGGCCAATTTATGAGTTCGTTCAAACTATTTGAGTGATTGCAGAAGTTATTATTAAAACGGCCTAATTTGTTAAGTTGTCCTCCTAAAATGTTAATAACGAAAAAAAAGAAGCGAGGAGTTGATTATATTCTTGATAAAATTAAACGATTGATATATATTGTTCTGCTTCAATGAAGGCGATTACGAGTCGTTAATGAAGACTAATTTTTGTTACCTCTGAACTTTAATTTATGGACTGATCTTAATTTTTGTTCATTAAGTGGCTAAGCTGACTGTGTCAAAATGGAGAAATACTAAAATCGCAGAATAAATTTAGTTCGCTCTCGTTGGTTCTTTACCTTCTCAAAAGGTTCAAAAACATTTTTACTCGCGAAATACCAACCTGGCTCCCGCATTTTCGTGAAAATAATTAGAAAGAAGGCCGAAAATTAATAAGATTTAATAATAAAAAGGGCGGGAAAAGAAATGCTCGCGAGTTCTTTTATTCAATTAGGCAGCACCATAGCAGACTTCTACTTTGAGCGTTGAGCCTGCAGCAATAATTGTATTCATATGCGACCATAGCCAGTGTAGCCTTTTCAAAAAACCTTATGGCGTATTTAAATCAATGACAGACGACAAAATTTTAACCAAATAATGGCTCGATAATGTCGTCTAAAATTATCGCGTTTTTAAGAAATCAAGATTTGGAAGAACACCGTACCAGCCAAGGTCGTTGAAAAACCAGGAAGGTACTTTGTTTAATTTGCACTAAATAATTGCAAATACAAATTTCTTTTTTTTAAAGTAGCCAACCAGAAAAAAAGAAATTAAAAAGCTCAAGCGCCTCAAGTGCCAAAATACACGAAGCATAATTGAGTAGTACAACTTTGCATAACAATTCGACTGTCAAGAAAGACTAAAACAAACTATAGCACAAAGATATCCAAATACGGTTGGAGACACTAAACAGCTTTTGTGTCCTGAGCATTTAGAAATATCTCAACATTCATCATTAATCCAAAGATTATCTTATTAGATTCTGGTATCATAGAATTGTTCAAAGTCAGACCATTTTTCATCGCGTTATTAGTGAATACGAAGTAAAAGCATTGCTAAAGCTTTTCACTTTATAATACACTGTCATCTTTTGTTACATATTTGGAAGGAACACTTACCACTCCTCCCCTAGCCTCGTTCTTTCACTCTAACGCGTACGTCCGCAAGGGTTCTATTTCTAGCCTTCATAGTTTTCCTCAGAGATAAATCCGGATTCCAAAAGGTGGGAAATTTTTGCCTTGTGGAATTGTGGAATCCTGGAAATGTTTGCTTGTGGAATCTGGAATCCTTGGCTTTGGAATCCGTAATTCAACACATGGACTGATCCGGAATCCCGATAACGATTGGAATCCGAAATCCAAGTTCCGCTGACAAGGAATCAGGAATCCAGCATGGAATCCAGAATCCAAGACTGTCTTGGGACGAAAAAGCGGCAATCACGGCATTATAAACATTAACAAGCAGCTTTTACTTGCCTCCAAACTGAAGGCTGGTTCTAAGGAGCACAACTGGAATCGCACTTGCTCAGAAACTAGCGGAAGTGGCCGGAGAAAACAAGGGTAAATCTTTTAAGATGGTTTAGTTTGAAACGTAAGAAATTATTCAGTTTATCCCTCTTTGATGGCTACAAAGTGTGCTTAACAAAAAGCAGTACATTTGAAAGCAGCGTCTCAAAAAGGAATTTTTATGACTGAGTTTTGTCTCTTACGTGCGCTAGTGAAAGATGATAACCAAAGTATCCTTTGGTCAAGAAGCAAATAAGGCTCAATTATATTTCTGTCATTTAACAAAGTATACTGTGATTTCTTGATTAATCCTAATTGAGCCACTGCGTCAATGTACTACGAGCAGTCTGCAGCCCTCGTTTCTGGCGTCTTGCGCCTTGTCACTTCGCCGCTCGACACTCACGTGCGCATGCACTCACCTCGCTATAAATCGGAAGAAAAAGATAGACTGTTCGAAGTCTAGCGTCAATCAATAAGGCTTCACAAGATTGTAATTTCAGCGTAGCTTTGCGGATCAATTTTTTTCTAGTCTGTTCTTCTAAGTGGAAGTTACTGCGAAGCTTTTGTGATATATCTAAAATGTACATCTAATCAGGTGCTAGCCCCAAGGGAACGGATCGGAAGAAGGAGGGGATTGGATGGCATCATAAGACCCTGTTTACATGGAGTGGGGGACCCCGGTCTAGTGGGGTTGGTTTCTTTTGTTTTGTGTCCTCCAGAGCGTGAAAACAAAAGAAACTAACCCCACTAGACCGGGGTCCCCCACTCCATGTAAACACGCCCTAAGTTAAAAGTTTTTGTGGATGAATTTTTAACAGACCATCTTTCTTACTTGCACTTGAATGTTTTCAGTTGATGTGACCTTCACATGTGTCATTAACTCAAAGCTACTCACGATCAATTCAGAGTTCACTCACGTTCAAAGTCGGATAAGAAAGCACAACTGTTCATTGAACTCGTTTTTGTTGTTGTTTGTTTTCTTTTTTGTATCAATGTGTGTGACTCAGGAAGAATTGGCTCTAATTTCGAAAATTACGAAATGTAGGCGGGTCATCACAAATATTTACTTCCTGATCCTTTGCTCATAAATTTGTGTTTGCTAGACAAAAACTTTATTGTGTAAGACATGTTCCAGTTCTCATATATCACCCAACCCGCAGCCATATTAATACAAGCTGCAACCACCCCGCGTTTTTTTTTTTCATACTGTTTTCCTACATTTCACTACCAAAAAAAAGATTGAAGTGCTTTTTGCTCTTTCTCGTCTCTCTGTTTTGAGCTAAGCTGATGAAAAAGGCTGATTCGAATTTATTCAACGAATTTGAAAGTAAGGCATTAACATAACAACAATAGTGCCTTTTAAATTATTTATTATCCCATCTCCATACAGACATATTTTCAGTTAAATAAAAAAAATGTGAGAGCTTTCCTTAACCTTAAACCTTAACCTTCACCAGGCAGTTTAACTAAGCGTTTAATCTTAAATTTTCTCTTTGCTGAGACTTGCTTGCTCCCTTGAAAGTCGTCTTCATTTTCCAACGCGTTTAGTGATTTTGCAAATCTCAAACTTCCAGCGGCGATCCCTGAATAGAAAAAATTAATAAGAAAGTGTAACATAAGGCACTCACGAGCAATTTTCAATTGTGGAACATTTGACGTGGTGATGAACTAAAGAAACTGTCAGTGTGTCGTCGCTTTCTTTGATTGGCCACCTTATTTGGCCGAGGGTAGTGTTTGCATAAGAGCACGTAAACACTGTGCACACGTTAAGCCACGATTATGAAAAACTTTTTTAACTTAAAGATCTACAGGTTTTGACCTTATTTACCCATTTCTTCGACGGTTAAAACTTTTAAAATCTTCGCCAAACAACTCTTAGTTTATAGCTTATAAAAACGACATTTTTAGTAAGAATAAGCAACACTCTCTCGTGCGTATTTCAGGCTATGCAAACGCGAAGAAAGTTCAGTTTCTTTTCCTTTGACGTCGTTTATACTAATTTAAGTAACATTTTGAGGTTGTGTTTCCTATTTGCAATGATAAGGATCCGTTAAAAACCATGCTGAAGTTCAGCTTCCTTTCTACATATTCATCGCACAATGCACTAGTTTCCCTGGTACGTGATGCGGCAGTGGATCTTGTACAAATACCGTATTTATTCGATTAACCGCGCTGGGCGCTTATTAAATTCTTTGACCTTGAGAGTGGGCGCTTATTCGAGGTGGGCGCTTATTCGTGGCTGGGCGCTTATTAAATTTTCACCATTTTCAGCAAGTTTAGTATGTTTATTTTGCAACAAAACAATAAATGCTGGTAATAACAAAACGTGAATCATGTAACAAATCAAGGTTTCTTTAAAATTCTCTGTGAAGAAAACTCCGTCTTCGGGGAAGTTTCAGTCTTAGTCTTATTAGTACTTATTCAATTTCAATTTCAATCTCACTGTCACTCAAGTGGGTGGGGTTGGGGGTGGGCGCTTATTTGTGTTTGACTGGGAGGGGGAGGGGGGTGGTGTGGGGTGGGCGCTAATGAACTTTTTCAGCCTTTGGGAGGGGCGCTTAATCGATGTGGGCGCTAATTCGAGGTTGAGCGCTTCTTCGAATAAATACGGTATGTTGGAACCCAGCGTAGTTGAAGAAGAGGTTTTTTTTAATTCTGCGCACCTTTCGCTTCCAGGGACTAAGCAAGTTATCTCAACACTTACTCATGATGGTTATGGTGATAACTCTCCACTCCAGACAGATAGAATCCATAGGGAACATAGTACATCAATTCTTGGTCCCAGTTGTTCTTATATAGAGTGTGATGGCAACTGTGCTTAAAATATCCGTTTATATAGCAGCAGTGGAACCGAAACCTGTCATTGGAAACACAGAAAGAAAAAAATCTACTGAACAACTGATAGTGACCTTATTTGCGGAAGCTATTATCAGGTCCGCCTTGGGTTATTTCATGGATCTTACTTTCGGGTTGTACGTACATGCAATGTATTGGTCTTAAATACTTTTATCACGAAACAAAACTACTTAACTGTGATGACAATTTTTCTGACAATTTTAACCACCTTTCATCTTCACAGGAGAAAGAAAGGTGAATGGTTTTTGTCTCTGGACCGATGAATAAAGGGGGAAAGTTTCTAATGAAGCTGTGCTACGTCGGTGAGGGAGTGAAAGGCAAAGAGTTGGTTTTATCAACTGTGTTGATAAAATTAAATCTTTGCATTTTCCTGGACTGTGCATTTAACACTTATAAGGAAGATCATTATAGAGTGGAAAAGTGTGATGTCACGTTACCATGGTAGCAAAATTTCTGGATCTCAATAATCTTTCTTTGCAAAGAAAGCCATTTACATTGTCAAACGATGAAAGAAAAGCATGGGCTATTGTTTTGATCCTGAGTGACAAAATCATGCACAGGAAACTCACACAAGTCATGCCATTTTTTTTTTCGTTTTGTTCTGCTATATTTGCAAGACCACGGTTTTGTTGAGATCCAGAATTCTTTGCAACCATAGCAACGTGACGTAACGACTTCTCTCTGATAAAGCGTAGGATTTTAGTAGTGGAATGATGTTTACGTGCGGTCTTTGTGATGGCCGCTGTAAGAATCACTTGCCACTCCAGTAATGAAGCCATTGCAGGGGCATTTGAAGTTCACTGGCCCGTCAAAGCTATTTACAGTGTATGTCCAAAAGCAGTTGCTCGCACTGTATGACGCTGGACCATACCCACACTGGAAGTAATGGATGCGGTCTTCTTTGCAGTTGCGATGCTGGCTGCGCCATGACCTCAAATAATAGCCTAAACATTACACAAACAAGACATGAAATGACCCAATAAAAAGCAGTTAGAAACATGTTTCGAAATTGTACGGGACAATTTGTCATCCTATTCTCTCTATACCATTTATTTTACCTTTAAAGATCATACGTCTTTATAATTAGTGTGTATCAGAGAGCAAATCAGTGCAGGATTGCAAAAAAAATAAAGGAATATTGAAATATTTATCCATCACTTTGTCCGAGCCTGAGAGAATCATAGGTTCGCTTCTAAGGACAAACGAATCTGTCTGTCGGGATGAAGAAAAAGAAGGAGAAAAATAATCTCCAATTCATAAATAAAGACTGTATATACATATATTAAAATTGTAACAAATGCTTCGGAGTATGTTATGCAGGGAAAGCGAGTGAGTTGCATCTTTACAGGAAAGCAGCGTAAAAGAAAGGATTATCGTTTATTGATTCTATATAAATGTATATGTACAGCAACTGGCTCACTGGTTTTGCAACTGAAGGAGAAAGGTTGTTGCCACTGGTTCACCCATGCGACTCCTTCTGGCTTGGACGAAGAGCAGCGCCTACGCCTACGACTACGCCTACGACGTCGCCATGCTTCAGTCGACGAAAACAACAGCAGGTCAACAGCTATCAGCAACAACAGAAATTTCGCCATTTTGCTTCCATCCATGGTCGTCTCAAAACTGGCAAGAGAGGAAGAGCTAAAGAAAAAAAAGAAAATCACTCTTTTGTTGGCAATCTCTAGAAAGTTCTGACTTCTTTTCCTAATAGAATGAAAACTGACAGGCTTTAACTCCAATTAAGGGACGGACCATTTGAAAAGTTATGGGGTGGGAGGGCGAAGTACACAACAAACGTTCTTGTAAGGGAAAATCTATGAAAAAAAAAAGATCATACACGCCAAGTAACACTAAAAAATATTCCTGCGCTGGCCTAAAAAAATTCATGCACCTCGAAAACTCCCACTCCCACCCCATAACAATTCTAATGGTCCGATTTCCTTTAGTATCGCGTATCATACGAACGAAATGACTTGGATGAATTGAACTTCTTAATATACAGACATTAGAGTCTTATGATCATTGCGTGCTACCTGAAATATTTGTTATATCAAAAGCAAATTTTACGTAACCAGCTTTTAGTCACTGAAATATCCAGTTAGACAAAACATCAATTTGACCAAATAATTATTTGACCGTAAATCAAGTCATTTACCCACGTCGTATAATAACTGAGTTGAACAGAAAGAACCGGCCAAAAATATCTTTATCAAGGAATCTCGAGCTACTCCAGCTGGTTGTGAAACAGAGCTCACATTGATCTGTATTTATTGCCTTGATTCAATGAATCACAATAATTTCGCCGATTGTTTCGTAATTTACTATGAACAGAAACAAGTTGAAGACACGTTTGCAATGCATGTCTTCCTTGCTGGCTCAGTGTTTATTTATCTGGCACTTTCTTGATCCTTGTCTTACATTCGCGTTATCTGAGAGATGTAAAGGGCAGCTCTAACTTTTTGTTTTTTGCGTGATTTGCTGCGATGTCTTGGGGATACGATATTCTAAGCTTTATCAAGAAAAAAATAATCTGTGTCTTATTTTCTCTTGCCTTTATGGAAAGGTTCACCTAGGGAATCATGTCATTTGACGTAAACAGTAATTAAAGTAGTATCAAAATTTGGTTTGAAACAACGGCGATTTTCGCAACAACACAGTACGGTATAAAATCACCACAGTAAATTTAGTGTCAAGTAGGCGAGCGAAACTTATGTCTATCTAGTCTGCCGCCGAACAGCAGAGACTCACCTTTAGTAACTAAGGCCTTGGCTTTAGCTTGAACAACAATTAAGAGAGTTCTGTTGGTATTAGTGATAGAGAATAAACGCAGAAATCTTCCGTATTTTATGGCTTAATGTGAAGTGATACAGACATTCTTACGTAAGACTTTTTTATGGCTACAAGTTCAGAACACGTTTGAAAGAAAAACAAATGCTAATGTTAAAGGAGTTGAACAAAAACGTGGTCGAAATTTCGCGTTTGCCCCCCTCTAGCTCGCAGAGGCCTTACCCGTTCCAATTAACCCAAAATGACTCCAAGTTTCCTTACGTCTTGGCCTTTTATGATCGAGTTTCATGGATGGCTCGCTTTCCTCGGACAACAAATTTATTTCTCGACTCTGCAGCTCATTAGTAGACGATATGACGACTATCACAGACACTGTTTTCACAACATATTATTGCATGGAGACAGGCAGCCGTAAGGAGTTGAAAAAAAAAATCGTACAAGGGGGAAGTAAAATATAAGCTGCGGATTGAAATGTTTTTATGTTACTTCCTCGATGATTAAATTGATGTCAGGCCGGGATACTGAAGCTCAGTTTTGAGTTACTACCCTTACTAATCATTTCCTCTTCGCAGGTATTGTTCTTCTGTTTTCCAAATATTTGACTTCTCCAAATTCAAACACTTGTTTAGAGCCGTAGATCACCCTCAAATGAATGGATAAGATTAAAGGTTGATTTCCACTGACGCGTTTTTGGCTACGCACGTTAACGCGCGTATACTAAATTTTAATCACGTAAATAAAATAGAGGCAAGATAAAAAGTGCTGAGCTTAAATTGCCTCTATTTTATTTGCGAACGTAAATTTTACGCACGTACGCACGTAAAAAATTACGCGACACTAGAAATCAACGCTAAGAGAAAAGTCGAGTCCTGAAAACGCCAGAAGAAATTTTCTTTGTAAATACTGCTCACGAAATTATTTTCGTTTTATGAAAAATCTATAGGTTACTTGTTTAAAGATATTTCGCCCTAATGTTGCCGAGCCGTTACAAAATTTAAAAGCGAATTATAAACTCAAATTCTTTATTGAATGAACTGAAAAGAATTGCTTTGGCCTTCAGTTTGTTTCTTTATTAAAACGGAATATTTTACAAAAGAGAATGAAACACAAAATCCAAGGTCTTTTCTTTTCACATGTTTGAGATCAACTGAACCAATGTTTCATTATCATTAGAATTTTCCTAATCGTTTTTTATTATCTTTATTTCCAAAAATTATACTTTTCGTACCGAAATGAAAGAGTGGGAAAACGCTCTTACCGCCAAGTTTATACACCCATTATTCCACTTCATGTCGACAACCAGGAGTTTTGAAACTGCCTCAGGTGCCAAAAAGCAGGAAGCCTATTTCGGAAGATCTTATTAGTATAACGAGATGAAAATAAAAAAAAAGAGCTGCAAAACAGACGACTCCCAATAACTCGAACCTTCTAGAAAGATCGAAAAAAGTTCGAGTTAGCGGGAGTTCGAGGAATCGGGAGTTGACGGAGCAAACAACTGGAAATATGGAAATGGGATGGTGAATGAATTATGAAAAATGCCACTACAAAGCTTGATAAATACACAGTGTTGGACGCTGTATTTAAACTGGACTGAAAAAGAAAGTAAAGACTAAGACAAAAATAATTTCAATTTTCCGGACTGCGTGACACTTTTTCCCTACTTGTCAGGCGCTTAAAGCATATGGTTCGACAGGGTAAATTTATAACATATGATGGAATTGATCGGAAGGAAAACGAAAATTGCTTCGAGTTAACGGGAGGTTCGAGATATCAAGGGTTTTTGTTACCGATCTAGAGTAAAATCCTAGTAAATGTAGGAAGGAAATCCAGAGGAAATCGATAATTTGGTTCGAGTTAGCGGGGGTTCGAGTTATCGTAAGTCGACCCCAGATTTAACAAGTCGACATGAACACAGTCATGACAGTCGACTCTGTTTTGTATGTAGATAACTAATTATAGTTTATTAAGTAATAAATAAAGGTATTGAATTTCGATAGCAAGGGTTCAAAATTATGATGATTATTCCTGATTATTACAAGTCCATACGATAAAATAGATCCAAAGCTAGTCGACTTAAGTAACCCTTTTTGTTTTTTCGCTTAATATTCCCTTATGTTGATTAATTGAAAGTAGTTGACGTGGACTTGTTGTATGATTTCACATTGCCAATTCGTTTTTCGCATTCCCATGGCCAATTTATACGTTCGTTCAAACAACGTGCTGATTGCACAAGTTAATATTAAAACGGCCCAATTTGCTAAGTTGTCAATAACGAAAAAAAAAGAAGTAAGGAGCTGATAATGTTCTTGATAAAATTCAGGGGCACCCAACGAGAATATAGTTCAAAACCACTTAAACATGGCATTGTTAAACGTGTTTTAGTATTTAAACGGTGGATATGGGCATATTTTTATCCCCTATAAATTTTTCATCTGTTCGGATTTCCTAGCTGAAAGTCTAGTGATCCGAAAATTATAGGGATCAAGACTTACCTGTTCGAAAATTTCAGCCAGAAAAAAGGCTCCCGGAAATTCTAGGTGACCTTTTTAGGGTAAAAATCCGTTGAAAATGGGCAATTTTACTATTTTTTAGATGTTCGAAAATCCTAGGAGAGGCAGGCAAGCAAGAAATTTTACAACAAATGTTCCGAAAATTCTGGATCTCAAATCGTCTTCCGAACAGAAATTTTTCCGAAAATTGTCGTTGGGTGCCCCTGAAATTCAACGATTGATACTGTTCTGTTTCAATCCTGAGGGCGATTGCGAGTCGTTTCATGAAGACTAAACCTCATGAAACCCCTGAAATTTATGGACTGATCTCTTTCTAGTGGCCAAGCTGACTGTGTCAAAATGGAGAAATACGAAAATCGCAAAGTACATTTAATTCGCTCTGGTTCTTTACCTTCATATGAAAGATTAAAAAAAATGTTACTCGCGAAATACCGACAAGGCTTCCGCATTTTCGTGAAAATAAGGGCAAGAGTTGATAAGAATAATAAAAAAAGGGCTGGAAAAGAAATGATCATTGAGTTCTTTTATTCAATTAAGGCAGCACCATAGCAGACCTCGACTAAACAACGCTAGTTAAATCTCGGAGCGTTGAGCCTACTGATAATTGTGTTTATATGCAACCATACCCAGCGTAGCCTTTTCAAAAAACCTTATGGCGTATTCAAATCAATGACAGATGACAAAATCTTAACCGAATAATAGCTCGATACTGTCATCTAAAACTATCACGTTTTTTAGTAATGAAGATTTGTAAGAACACTTACCAGCCAGCTGGTCGTTTAATAACCAGGGTCACCAGGAAGATACTTTGTTTAATTTGCACTAAATAATTGCAAATACAAATTTCTCATCTTCTTTATGCCGCCAAACAAAACATGAAAAAAAACTTCAAGTGCCTCAAGTCATTGTCAAGTGCCAAAATGCAGGGAAGCTGAATAGTACAACTTTGCATAACAATTGGACAGTCTTAAGAAAGAACAAAACATTCTACAGCACAACGATATCCAGTACGGTTGGAGACTAAACAGCTTACGGTGTCTAGAGCATAATTATAAATATCTCAACATTCATCAGAAAACCAAAGATAACTTATCAAATTCCGATTCATAGAATTGTTCAAAGTCATCCAATTTTCATCTTGATATTAGTGAATACAAAAGCACTGAGAAAGCTTTTCACTTTATACAGGGGCACCAAACGACTATGAGTTTCTGATTCCTCGGAGAAGCGAATATTTCCTAGAATTTTCTATTGCTTCAGGGCAGCTACAAATTTCTAGAAGACCGTTCCGTTCACGTTCCCAAGGGTTAAATATCTGTAGTGTTCT